GAGGCTCCTTACAAGAAGGTGAGAAAAAACATGTCGGTGAGGTTTATAATTTCTTAATTTAGCATTATTCACGAAACTACTGCTGAAATGTAAACTAACCTCCCCGGAGCCCTCTTGATTTATCTTATCAGAGATGCATTACGTGTAACTTACAAAAGTAAATATATGCTATTGATGTAATAATATTGTGCAGTAGTTTCACTTCAGCGTGATGAATAAATGCCCATCTATCTCTCTTTGTAGACTTGCCTAACGATATCTCACCTCTACTCCCATGAATTCACCTTTGATTCCAGTGTGAACTGTCAATCATAAGGTAGTAATTGAGTGACTTATCGCTGTACCGTGGTCCCCTAGGTAAAATGACTCAACTAAGAATTACCAGCTCCAGTTTGGTATAGCAAAAAGGTGAATGTAGTGGTTTGGGAAAAAGCAGGGGTCCAAGAATAAGAAAGCGTAACCAGTCTGTGGCAAGTTAAATCTTCTAATAGTCTTATAAGAAGAAATGGGTGAGATTTTAAAATTTATATATCTATGTAAGACTGGTGATAGTAAATCTTAAACAGTCCAGTGGCAATCTGCTACTCAGTTAATAATTACTAAAATTCTTGGATCCCTGAATAGAAATTAAAAAAAAAAAAAATACAAGAGGCAGTATCACAGCTTAGAGTCACTTGATAACTGTTTTACTGTTCTCCATATTGTTTTATTTTTAATTAGGCCCTGCCATATAGTATTTCACACTAAAAACAAAGGAATTATTTTGGCTAATATAGTCTTTGACTCATTTCGGTATCGCAGTAAAAGTAAACTGTCTTTTCATTGTTTCACCAGTTGGTGGTGAAAATAGCAGTATGCATGCATTATCACTGGTGTCACAAACTGTAAGCTTTGTAAGTTAGCACTTTACTCCTATAGCTGATGTAATCAAACTTTAAAATAAACATTTTGCTAAACCTTTTAAAAATAATACATTTGTTTTGGATTGTATAGCACGACCATGTGGTACCAATTTGGATGAATTCTTGATAGATTTAAATAGTGTATGTAATTTTGTAATGCTTAGACTCTTGAAGAGCTACTTTCTGTTTTAATGTTAAGATTCTTGTGTCTTAGTTTTTTAACATGGATGTAATTCCATGTAAACAGGTATGGAAGTAGGAAATGTTTAGGCTGGACTTGGTGGATTATTAATTGACTTTCTTGGGTTCTTGGGAGTCAACATTACTAAAGCAGTGTGAATCCCTGTTTGCTTCAGGGCGAGATGTGTGACAGAGGTGGCATCAAGCTCTTACAGTCCCAACCCTCCAACGGAAATGGGCGAAGATCTCAGGAATGGCATCGGTCACAGGAAATCGATAGTGGCTGGCTGCTAGCATGGCCACTTGGGGCTTAGGCAGAAATAGAGCCATGGTACTGACCAAAGGGACCATAGCACATGGAATAAAACTCAAAACAGGACTTCATGTTTTATGGAAATTATATTTAACCACTTCAACATTGTAAATCTGGATAACTTAATATCTAAACTATATAAGAAAGTAAATTTTAACATGTTAATATGGAAAGATTTTTTTATTTTTGTATCTTGATGACTTAAATGTAAGCAACAAAGTGGTTAAACACATACCCATCTAAATTTTTTTATAGCCTTCCATGTTAAACTTTAAATAAATAATTAGTTTTAAAATTGTTTTGTATTTTCTTATTCCTGTTCCCTTTACCCTTTGACAACTTGAAATGTTACCACTTCGTCCTCATGATGTTCTTCTATCAACCCTGCTTAGGATGAGAACAAGTTGAGCAGTGCCAACGGCCATGAAGAACGTAGCAAAAAGTAAGTTTTAAGAAGGGGCCTGGGGGAGGGTGGTGAACTTTTTTGTGGTTTTAGACCTTAAGTTGTGTTCCTGTGGCTGAAGTATACAAAGTTCTCTTCTGAAACTTTTTTTTCCTGCTTTTAGAGAATTGGTTCTTTGTCTTTTGGGATAAACTCTTGGAGGAACTGTGGATTTTTGCTTAGATTTCAGAATATAGTTTCAGATACCTTCCCCTCCAAGTCCATCATGACAATCTGGTGACAAGTTCTGTAGTAGAGGTTGTCTTGTTTTAAATTTGTTAACTTTGGTTTAATATTTGGTTATCTTACTGATAAAACTATTATATCCATTGATCTTAAAAGGGAGAGTTAAATTAGGTGATAACTAGGCCATGGAAAGTATTGTTTGCCCTAAATTGCCAAAGGAGTCAAAGCTGTGAATTATTTCTGCACCTTGCTGCTCAAAGGCCCTTTTGGAAGTGATGCAACAGAATACTTAAGTACTTCTTAAGGTGGCTTTCATTATCTTAGGCCTTTCAAACTCCAGACTTAACAGGGTGGGGTTTTTGGAAATTATGAATATATCTGTATACTTTATTTGGATAAGATGAGTGACTGTAGAACTTACTATAGTACAGAAAACTGTACGAAAAGTCTTAAGTAACAGATATGACGAGATCCACTTTTTTTTTTTTTCTTTTGAGACGGAGTCTTGCTCTGTAGCCCAGGCTGGAGTACAGTGGCACAATTTGGGCTCACTGCAACCTCCACTTCTTGGGTTCAAGTGATTCTTTGAATTTTTTTTTTTTCTTTTGAGATGGAGTCTCTCAGTGTCACCCATGCTGGAGTGCAGTGGTGTGATCTCTGCTCACTGCAGCCACTGCCCCCCCACCCCCCGGATTCAAGCGATTCTCCTGCCTCAGCCTCTCATTAGCTGGGACTACAGGTGCACGCCATCACGCCCGGCTAATTTTTTTTGTATTTTTAGTAGAGCTGGGGTTTCACCATGTTAGCCAGGGTGGTCTCGATCTCCTGACCTCATGATCCTCCCTCTGTAGCCTCCCAAAGTGTTGGGATTACACGCATGAGCCACTGCGCTCGGCCTTTTTTTTTTTTTTCCGCGATCTCAGCTCACTGCAAGCTTTGCCTCCCGGGTTCATGCCATTCTCCTACTTCAGCCTCCCGAGTAGCTGGGACTACAGGCGCCCACCACCACGCCTGGCTAATTTTTTTGTATTTTTAGTAGAGACCGAGTTTCACTATGTTAGCCAGGATGGTCTCGATCTCCTGATCTCTTGATCCGCCCACTTTGGCCTCCCAAAGTGCTGGAATTATAGACGTGAGCCTTTTTTTTTTTAAAAAAAAAAGACATAATCTTGCTCTATTGCCCGGGCTGGTGTGCAGATCGACTCATCACAATCTCCGCCCCCACCTGGGTTTAAAAGGTTCTTCTGCCTCAGCTTCCCAAGTAGCTGGGACTATAGGCGTGTGCCACCATGCCTGGCTGAGTTTTGTATTTTTAGTAGAGACGGGGTTTCACTCTGTTGGCCAGGCTGGTGTCGAACTCTTGACCTCATGATCCGCCTGCTTCGACCTCCCAAAGTGCTGGGATTACAGGGGTGAGCCATCGAACCTGATGCAAGGGATTCTTCTGCCTCAGCCTCCCAAGTAGCTGGGAATACAGGCACGCGCCACCATGTCTGGCTAGTTTTTGTATTTTCAGTAAGAACGGGGTTTCACCATATTGCCCAGGCTGGTCTTGAACTCCTGACTTGGTTACCTGCCTGCCTCGGCTTCCCAGCGTGTTGGGGTTACAGGTGTGAGCCACCCGTGCCCGGCCAAGAGATCCACTTTATAAGGTTGGGTTTTATCAGTTTTTGAAGTTTCCTTTTAGCTCTGAGGTTAGTGATTCTAAATATGTGGTCATGTCGCAAACATTAAATTGTTTCATTAGTCTATGGTGCCATTTTAAAACATTTTATCCGCCAAGCTGTGGTGGCTCATGGCTGTAATCCCAGCGTGTTGGGATGCCGAGGCAGGCAGATCACTTGAGGCCAGGAGTTTGAGACCAGCCTGGCCAACGTGGTGAGACCCTGTCTCTACTGAAAATACAAAAAGTAGCTAAATTGTGGAGGCTCGTGCCTGTAGTCCTGGCTCCCCAGGAGGCTGTGGCAGGATAATTGCTTGAACCCAAGAGGCAGAGGTTGCAATGAGCCAGGGTTGCACCACTGCACTCCAGCCTAGGCCACAGAGTGAGACTCTGTTTTTTTTTTTTTTTTGAGACAGAGTCTTGCTCTGTCTCCCAGGCTGGAGTGCAGTGGCGCAGTGTCAGCTCACTGCAAGCTCCGCCTCCCGGGTTCACGCCATTCTCCTGCCTCAGCCTCCCCAGTAACTGGGACTACGGGGGCCTGCTACCATGCCCGGCTAATTTTTTTTGTATTTTTTTAGTAGAGACGGGATTTCACCGTGTTAGCCAGAATGGTCTTGATCTCCTGACCTCGTGATCCGCCCGCCTCAGCCTCCCGAGCCGCTGGGATTACAGGTGCCTGCCACCGTACCTGGCTAATTTTTATAGTTTTAGTAGAGATGGGGTTTCACCATCCTGGCCAGGCTGGTCTTCAACTCCTGACCTCGTGATCCACCCTCCTCGGCCTGCCAAAGTGCTGGGATCACAGACATGAGCCACCATGCCCAGCCAAGTTTTGTATTTTTAGTAGAGACAGGGTTTCACCATGTTGGCTAGGCTGGTCTTGAACTCCTGACTTCAGTTGATCTACCCGCCTCGGCCTCCCAAAGTGCTGGAATTACAGTCATGAGCCATGGATCCAGCTGAGACTCCGTCTTAAAAAAAAAAATCTGGGCTGGGCGCAATGGCTCACACATGTAATCCCAGCACTTTGGGAGGCCGAGGCGGGCGGATCACAACGTCAAGAGATCGAGACCATCCTGGCCAACATGGCAAAACCCCGTCTTTACTAAAAGAGACTGCCTGTGGGATCGTACTTTGCTGTCCTCCATGTAGAAGAAGCTAGACCCAGCACTTTGGAATGCTGAGGCAAGATCACCTGAGGTCAGGAATTCGAGACCAGCCTGACCAAAATGGTGAAACCCTGTCTTACTAAAAATACAAAAATTAGCTGAGCATCGTGGTGCACACCTGTAGTCCCAGCTACTTGGGAGGCTGAGGCAGGAGAGTCACTTGAACCTGGGAGGCGGAGGTTGCAGTGAGCCGAGATCGTGCCTTGCACTCCAGCCTGGAGACAGAACGAGACTCCGTCTCAAACATAAAAATCTGCCATACTTATGACCTTACATAAATGAAAAATGAGAGAAAAATAGCCACTTGATTTCTTTTTGGCTCTTTTCCTCCTAAAATCCCTAAATGCTTCATAGTAAATGCCTCATTCGTTCTCACTACATTGTGTTAGGTAGGTTGATAAAATTTCATAAAATAGATGAGAAAATTTTGTATAAGTTTATTCAGTGCTTGCTAAGCCAATATGTTTTTTTGTAGTTCCTCTAAAATAATGTGGTAATAGGTTAAAAATGATGTAATTTGTAGAAGATGTCCTCCTCTTTTCTGGTGTAAGCTTGGATGGGAGTCATTTATAGTTCTTCACCAAACACAAGAAATTGTGGGGATTAGATTGGGTTTAGTCTTGATGTGGTCTGAGGCAACCAACCAGAGGCATGGTTTATGTCGTCTGGTTTTAGACCTTCTGCCACAGTAATGGTTTCCTAATGTTTCTATTTTGCAATTCTCTAATCAAAAGAAAACCCAGGAAGATGTATCCATATAAATTGACATAAATTATCCGATCTAGGTGTCAGGCCTAGTGGCTGAAGATTTCACTTCAAATGCCAGAAGGATAAAAACATAGACTTTTGCGTACAGACCTTCGTTATTGTACCATTGTCTTGTGTCACCCTTTGCCACTAAGGTCATCTCTGGTTTCTACTTGTTTTTATTCTGTATATAAGTTGATTAAGGCTACAAGCTTTTATAAGGAAGCTGAGCATCAGGTTCTCCATGTGTGATATTCGGTGGCCTTTATCTAATGTGGAGTCCCACAGGACTAAATAGAAGAATGGACAATTTCTTTAACCATGAGATTGTCTAAGGGGAGATCCTTTCAAAACACTTTGGTTATCTTAAAATACTTTCCAGTCAGACTTCTCGTCAGTTATAGTTGATAAGTAAATGGCTCCTTTGTTCAATCAGGACTCTTAATTTCTGAAGGAACTTTATGTTTCAAATTAATTTTAAAGTTACCTGGAAGAAAATTTTTGTATTTAGATATAGATATAAAACATTCTGTCTTTGCTTTAACCTTTAACTAAATTAAATTTCTTAACCAAAGGAAAGTGCCACGTTGCATTTTTCATTCTAAAACTTCATTGTCTTAAGCCACATTGAGGTATAGTTTGTTAGGTAGTAGAAAAATGGCGTGTACTGAGAAACAGTTGACTGAGTATAAATTTTTTTTTAATTGTGTAATTTTGATTCTCAACATACACTTTATTGTATCCTAGAATAGGAACAAAGTTTATTGTGACACAAACTGGTTGTCAATCTATTTTTTGAAGAGCTATAAACCTGAGTTTTTGCATACGTCAAGGTATGCATCTTAAGTGCTTGAGCTTGCTCTCATGGGAATATTATTTGTTAGAGTAACCAGTTTTGCAAACTCTAAATCAGTGTCCATTCCGTTAAGCTCTTTAGAGAATTACTCAATAAAATTTAACATTGAAGTGAACACAGTTGAAATATATTGGCTACTGTGGTGTGGATTATCTATAAATTTTGGAATAAATGACTTCTATTTTTTTTTTTTTTTCCAGAATACTTTGCATTTAAAATTTAGATCTTCTTACATGGAAGAGGTCAAATCCAGTTATAGCAAAACACCTTTACTGCAGAGGCCATATAACCAAAAAGTCCAAAGGCCCAGCCCAGTGGACCATTTACTTCAATGATGTTCAGTACAAAATTTCACTGCCATTAAAGACTTTGGAAAGTCCCTTTTAAGTTGTAACAGGATTTGACTATTAGTGTGGATTTCGATAACCCTTCTTTAGTTCATGTAATAAATGCCCTTTGAAACTGGAAGTATACTGGTTTCTTGCACCCATATAGCTTTCTCTGGGCTTTTATGCAAAAGATTGTATTTTCTGAATGTCTTAATATGTTGCTGTCTTTTTACCTGCCTGGGGTTGCCTTCAGATGTGGTTGAGGACTTGTTTATACAAAAAGTCCTAGGAGACTTTAAGTTAAAATTAGCTCTCCAATTTTCAAGTATTTTCTTTTGGCAGAATAAGTTTTGGGTCCTATGAGAGGTAAATAGGTTGGTTGCCTCTCTTGCTATAGCCCATCTATGAGCAGAACAAAAACTTTGATTTTGAGGGGGATGGAGTTACTTTTTACCTTGTTCCCTAATGGATTATATTTAGGACTTCAGGTTTTAGAAATCTCACACAATTCTGTAGTTAGAATAGTGTCACAGAGATAGTGTTAGGTTTTTCAGGCAACAAAATTGGAGTGTTACCTGTTGCCCATCTGGGCGTGGCTTTGATGAGTTCTATATAAATAACGAGTGTAGCCTAATTTTCTGTCATGTGCTACCTAGCATATACATTTCTGACAGTCAGGTGGATTATCTTGAAATTTTAGACAAACTTTCTGCCTCCTTGGAAAGCTCTACATCTCCTTGTGATTGGAGTGTGGGTTTCAAGATTCCAGAAGGTGGGTGTCTTCATTTTCTATTTTCAATGCACTCTAAAGATGACCTGCTTACAGGTTCTCTGAGGCAGATCTCAGTTGCTCTTATGATACGTAACTTTGCTTTGAAAAGGAGTAAACAATTACATATCCAAATACAGAATTGTCAAAATGTTTAATCATTAAGCCACTACAAATTGACATTTTAGTGAAATAAATTGATTTTGAAATGTTTTTCAGTTTATATTGAAATATCTGAAGGCACCTCTAAAATTTGGGTGATGACACAGGTATAGATTAAAAGATTTAATTATGAATGGGTAGTATACTGTGAAGACTACAGAAGTGAACAGAAAGATATGACTGGTTGTTTTGGTTTTTAGTTTGAGATTTTAAAAAGATCTGTGAAGGTCAAGTTGATCATTGGTTTTGATTGCATCCCACAGGCTTCTATAAACTGGCTTAAAAATGGCATACTCCATTTTCTGGTATATTCATTGTAACTTCAGGAAGTATTGAAATGGTCATATTCAAGTCTAGGAATGTCAAAATGTATTTTAATGCATTAGTTCTTTTTGTTTTTGGAGACAGTTTTGCTCTGTTGCCCAGGCTGGAGTACAGTGGTGTGATACCGGTTCGCTCCAACCTCTGCCTCCCAGGTTCAAGCAATTCTCCTGCCTCAGCCTACGCAGTAGCTGGGACTACAGGCCTATGCCACCACGACCCGCTACTTTTTGCATTTTTTTAGTAGAGATGGGGTTTCACCATGTTGACCAGGCTGGTCTTGAACTCCTGACCTCAGGTGATCTCTACCTCAACCACCCAAAGTGCTGAGATTACAGGTGTGAGCCACTGCACTTGGGTTTTTTTGTTTTTTTGTTTTTTCAAATGGAGTTTTGCTCTTTTTTGCCCAGGCTGGAGTGCAATGGCGTGGTCTCAGCTCACTGCAACTTCCATCTCCTGGGTTCAAGCGATTCTCCTGCCTCAGCCTCCCAAGTAGCTGCGATTACCAGCATGTACCACCAGGCCCGGCTAATTTTTATATTTTTGGTTGAGAGGGGATTTCACCATGTTGGCTGGGCTGGTCTCAAACTCCTGACCTCAAGTGATCTGTCTGCCTTGGCCTCCCAAAGGGTTGGGATTACAAGCGTGAGCCACTGCACCGGCCTGCATTAATTCTTACTGTCCTTTGTCATTACGGTTTTGCCCATGAAAACCAAAATGTTGCTGTCTATGTGACCCTTTGAACGTATTAAATATTTCCATATGTAAATGGGGGCAAAATGGACTTAATGGTAAATTACTATATTTGATGAAAATTTTTATAAATGAACCAGTAGTAGTACTTAAATGTGAACATATTGTATTGTAAGTTTGTTTTATTAATGTATTTTGCGGATTACAGTAATGCTTTTGTTGGCCTTTTATATGACAAACTATATTTAAAGGTTCACATTTTGATTTGTATTGCCAACAAGCCCTTTTCTTTGTTAAAGCTGTAGCTAACTCAGGAGATCATTGCAGTTCCTAGTCGTAGAGGATGGTGTCTTTCAAGTAATGTCTTGTCTGCTGATTTTCAGTAATGTTAATATAAGGCAAAAGGGATATTGTTTACCATACGTAGCAATTTTTTTTTTTTTGGACAGAGTCTTACTCTGTCGCCCAGGCTGGAGTGCAGTGGCAGAATCTTGGCTCATTGCAACCTCCGCCTCCCGGGTTCAAGCAGTTCTCCTGCCTTAGCCTCCCAAGTAGCTGGGACTCAGGCGCACGGTATCATGCCCGGCTAATTTTTTTTTTTTTTTTTGAGACAGAGTCTCGCTCTGTCGCCCAGGCTGGAGTGCAGTGGCCGGATCTCAGCTCACTGCAAGCTCCGCCTCCCGGGTTCACGCCGTTCTCCTGCCTCAGCCTCCCGAGTAGCTGGGACTACAGGCGCCCGCCACCTCGCCCGGCTAGTTTTTTGTATTTTTTTAGTAGAGACGGGGTTTCACCGTGTTAGCCAGGATGGTCTCGATCTCCCGACCTCGTGATCCGCCCGTCTCGGCCTCCCAAAGTGCTGGGATTACAGGCTTGAGCCACCGCGCCCGGCCAACTAATTTTTATATTTTTGTTAGGGACAGAGTTTTACCACATTGGCCAGGCTGGTCTTCAGCTCCTGACCTTGTGATCCACCTGCCTTGGCCTACCAGGGTGCTGGGATTACAGATTTTTTTTTTTTTTTTTAGTGTAATTATGTAGCATTGTATCATAGTAAAACTAGCCAAAAAAATTTATGAAAGGATAAAAATATGATTCTGACCATAAAAGGTAGTATATTATGGTGGATTCTTAAGCAAGCATGATAATGGCGAATTTGTTACTTCTCAGGAGGAAAAAAAGCAAGAGCAGAAGTCGTAGTCATGAACGAAAGAGAAGCAAAAGTAAGGAACGGAAGCGAAGTAGAGATAGAGAAAGGAAAAAGAGTAAAAGCCGTGAAAGAAAGCGAAGTAGAAGCAAAGAGAGGCGACGGAGCCGCTCAAGAAGTCGAGATCGAAGATTTAGAGGCCGCTACAGAAGTCCTTAGTATGTAACTATAGTTATGATTTTGGTTTGAGGGTTATTCTCTGGGTATTCATATAGCAATTAACTTCAGTGATTTGAATTGTGAAATTTTTTTAAATGATTGGTTAAAAAGTATTGAATTAAGGATATTGGCATTGAATGCTAGTAAAGTGAAAAATACAGTGCATAGACAAGTAAAAATTTGCTTTTACTAGTCATACCAATTATTTTCTGTTAAACTATCAAAGTTTCTAAATTGTATGCCAATCAGCGCAAACTGGATAAAAGCACTAGAGTGCTTGAAAAGGATGACATTGTAGTGCCCAAATACTTGAGAAAGCTTAACAGTGTCTGGGTTGTTACAGTATTTGCTAAATACATATTTACTTAAAATTATAGAGTTCTGATGAATACAAAGTTACACATGTATAGTTAACAGTAAGTAAAAAATCTTGTCACTGTGGCTGTTTTTAGCTGAAATATCAGGCCAGTTGTGAATTTGTTGTGTATGCTCCTTGATAAAGATTCTTTTTTGGGCTCATCTGTATTTAAGGTTTGTTAATAGTAAAAGGTATTCTAAATTAAAAGTGTTTTGAAGATTAGGTCACTAGAAATTTGGATGTGGATATTTAAAGTTGGAAATAAATTTATTACGGTTATTAAATATATTAATCACCTACAATTCTAAGGATTGAATAGCAATCTTTAATGCTTTGTGAGGTTAATTCATCTTAATAAACACACTGCTGTAAACTCTGGGATATATTAAAAATAACCCTTCTAACTTTAAGATTTGAATGGTTAAGGATGGAATTCAAAGACAGACTTGAATCACTTGGGCAAGGTACTTAACCCCCTAAGCTAAGCATTTGTTTTCTAACGTTTTAAGGAGATAACAAGTTTCAGATAAGCTATTAATGAGTAATGAATGAGAAGAAAATGAAAGTGCTCAGAGGACTTAATGGATTCATGAAATGTTTTGGCATTACATGAATTCTGATTCTGGCTCTTTTATCTTTAAAATAAAAAGAATTAAACTGCATGATGCTGGATTCCTCTAAGCTGCTTATTTCATTAACTTTTTAATAGCCGAAAATGGGACCACAATGCTATTTTAATTCTGAATGCTATGCAGCATTAGGAAATTCTCTGCTTTTGTCCCGTTTATCAAGATTCTGAGCATTCTTAAAATGGGATTATGTTAAATCTTTTTACCTGGATGAACTAAATGAGGGAAAAGGAATTAGCTTAATTCCTTTTGAGTGATGAATACTTTCTGTTTGCTGGGATCCTGGCCTAACTTTAATAGAAAATTACTTAGTTCTTACGTTGGGTTTGAGGCTGTAACTGAGAATATTTTATAATTAAAGGGGAAAGAAAATAGCTTATAACTAATTACTTGAGAACTTTAATACATCCAGTAAATGATTCTCAGTCATCACCATTAGTCTGAATTGCAAAGGACCAATTTAATATAAAGTGTTTTATTTGGAAATACTTGCATGTTGTAGGTAGGCATAGTGTTCATGAAAACTAATTCAAATGTGTGGATCACAGGCCACTACATATTTATTTATTTCGCTGTTCTTCTGGAATAAGATAGCAGGATGAGCACTAAGGGACAACTGGCTAGTCCCTTTAAGTTAGCCTGGTCTTTAAAGATTCACAAAAACTGTTATTACAGAATAATTACCTTTGTGATCTTTTTGAAAACGCTCTGTTAGTGATGACAAGTCCTCAAAATTTTTCAATAGAATTCGTAAATTACCTTCAGATCTTCACGATGGAATATTTTGCAACAAGCAACTGAAGTATAGTGTGTTAAATGGTGTCATGCTGTCTAAGAGTTACTG